GACAATACCACCTGGTCCAACACCACCAGGGACAATGCCACCTGGTCCAATGCCACCAGGTCCTATACCTCCAGTGCTGACACCACCTGGGCCATAACCACCAAGACCTCCATAACCTGAAAATAATGTGTATATATTTAAATATTTAGAGTGAAGCTACCTTTAAATTCCTCAGTGAAAATGAAACACTGCATCTTACAGATTGCCCACCTGTTTTGGGTGGTTTTCCTCCCACACCTAGAAGCAGGAAAGGGAAAAAATAACGGTACTAAACAAAACTTAAAATATTTAGAATTAAGCTTTTAAATATCCATATATAGTTACTAGCATTTGTTTTAATTTTCTAACCTCTTCCAGCACCTACTGGACCAGCTCCACCAGGGCCAAACCCTCCCACACCAGTGCCCACACCTGATAAAAAATGATAGAATTCTCTGTTGTAAGAAACATCACCATAAAAGTTTCTCTACTAGTTTCTCTACCTTGTCCAGGTATTCCTGTGCCAGTGCCACTAGCTCCAGGACCAACACCAAAGCCACCCGGTACTACACCTCCAAGGCCAGCACCCCCTGGCCTAAGTCCAAGGCCACCAAGACCTCCAGTTCCAAGAGTGCCTAGAATACTCCCATAACCTGTTTGTATGAAGCAAGACTCATGCAAGTATTAATCAAACCAATACATTATTTGCTTAATTTAATGCATGTTAATGTAGTTGAAATTGTAAATGTATGTGAACACTTGACTGCAGTTTTATCCCACTCACCTGGTTTAGGGGGTTTGCCACCAGCACCTACAGACAGAATAAAGTAAGATGAAATTAAAAAATGCTTGAGATCAATCTCAAGTTTAACCATTTAAATATCCACCACCCTACCAACAAATATGAATTTGCAGTGTTTATTTGGCTCAGCTTCACTGAGGTATTCTACAATCCCTAGCAGAGACTAGCAGAACCTTATATGAATATAACCTTATAGTTCAGTCAGGTTTGATTGCTTATTAGTAAAATTACACTCTGACAAATATTACCTGCTCCAAGGCTCCAAGTTCCAACACCAGCACCAATTCCTCCAGGTCCGACCCTTCCTGGTCCAGTTCCTATGGCACCAGGTC